GCTAATTTGAAAACAAAACTAAAATGTGCACAGCCCCACGTGCCAATGGGTACGGGGCTGGCAGAACAGAGCGAGCATTTTCAGTTTACTCCTATGGAAAAATTCTCGCTCTGTTCTGCTCGCTCCACTCTGGCTGACGTACGGCCATGCACGTTAGTTTCGCTTTCAAATCAGCTCCAATTCGGGGCACAACAACAAAACAGTGCTGTTCTGCACCATTACGAAGGCCTGTGCAAACGCGCACATTTTACATTTCCCTTTAAATTAGAGATTTAAAAGTCACATGTCGACCGGTGGGAAAATATCCTCACCGTCACATCCCTAGTATCCACCCATCTCATCCTCCCTTAACGCTCCCTTAGCTGGATCTTCTTTTGTGTTCAGGGAGTTACTATATATGGGAGTTACTTCCGTTAAAGGGTTGGTTCACCCAAAAATGAAAATTCTGTCAGTATTTACTCGCCCTCATGTTGTTCCAAACCTCTATGTGTTTATTTGCTCTGCTGAACACAAAGGAAGATATTTGGAAGAATGTTTTAATCAAACAGATCTCATTCCCCATTGACTACCATAGTACGAATACTATAGTAGTATTTCAGTTAAGTCCCATTCTTTTCAGGAAAGAATCTTGTAAAAATGTGTAGCAGATTAGAGTGATTTCTTTAGGATCATGTGACACTGAAGACTGGAGTAATGATGCTGAAAATACAGCTTTGATCACAGGAATAAATTATATAATATACTTGAACTTCAGCACATGTTATTGTGAAGGATTCCTCAGTCTAAAGAAAATGATTTTTCACTAACTTGCACACACCTGACTTAAAGGGTTAGTTCACCCAAAAATGAAAATTAAGTCATTAATTACTCACCCCCATGCTGTACCAACCCCGTAAGACCTTCGTTCGTCTTCGGAACACAAATGAAGATATTTTTGATTAAATTTGAGAGGTGGATCACTGCTACATAGGCTCCCTAAGGGATCGAAACAGCCCAGAAAAGGCCCAGAAAGTCAATGAAGAAAATGGTTAAATATTCCATGTGACTACAGTGGCTCAACTATAAGTTTATCAAGTGACGAGAATACTTTTTGTGCGAAAAAACAAACAAAAATAACGACTTTATTCGACTATTCCTTTTCTTCCTTGTTGGCCTGAAACGAGACTTCAATACGATTTTCACGACGCATGCGCGAGAACTGAACTGAAGTAGTTGAAGGAGATCGCAATTGTAGCGCATGCGTCGTGGAAATCTATTAAAGTCTCGTTTCAGGCCAACAAGGAAGAAAAGGAATAGTCGAATAAAGTCGTTATTTTTGTTTGTTTTTTCGCACAAAAAGTATTTGCGTCGCTTGATAAACTTATAGTTGAGCCACTGTAGTCACATGGAATATTTAAACATTTTCTTCATTGACTTTCTGGGCCGTCAAGTTTCAATCCCTTAGGAGCCAATGTGGTAGTTATCCAGCTCTCAAATTTAATCAAAAATATCTTCATTTGTGTTTCAAAGACGAACGAAGGTCTTACGGGGTTTGTACAGCATGGGGGTGAGTAATTAATGACTTAATTTTCATTTTTGGGTGAACTAACCCTTTAACTTTTTGGCTGATGTCACCTAGCAGACTCATTGTCCATTAGCTAAATAGCTGTTTAGTCATTGTTTTAGGCTGCTGTTGTAGGTAACACTTCCTTTCTCAAACCATTACAATAGTAAACACAGTAATTTCAGGCCAGTTAACTTTAATTAAATGAAAATTATGGCAATCATAGCAAATATCTTTGAGATATGTAATATTAAATAGAGTGTGTTGGTGGTGTTTCATGACGGGAATCCACCCGCAGTGCCAATGAGAATATATAGCAGAGGCCACACCCTCAAAGTGCATGTTGCGCATACTTATCCGTCAAACGCCCATCTGAGCTTTCTCCTAGGGTGTAAGCGGCATTAGACGGCGCCGTTGTTTTATTGAATCTGGATTCTTTGGATGCGAGTCAGAAATTTCAAAGGAGGTGAACAGGGAATGTACAGACATAAAGTCCAGCAACATTATTATGCAGAAACCCAAAACCTGTCTCTCTCTCTCATGTGTTTTGAGTTTGACGTGTACTTGTGGTTGTTTTTAGTAATGGGCGTATTTGAAAGTGTGTGTGGCATGTTTCTGAAAATAGCGAGTTTATGGGACCTCCTGTCGAGGAGTGTGAACACAAGGGTTATTATAGTAAACCATAAAAAACATGTTACTTGATTACTTAAAATAAAGTCTTGTTAAAGTCTTGTTACTTAAAATAAAATAAACATTAACTAAAAAAAATTAATGTGTGTGTGTATATATATATATATATATATATATATATATGCATGCACACACACATAACTATGTATAAGAACTATATAGACAAGACCCTTTGATCTATGACCTTATGGAAAATATAAAAATAAAATTCGAAACATTAATGAAAACTACAATAGTATCTCAATAATACTAACACACACACACACACACACTTCCTGGTTCATTCATTGGCTCATTATTATCTAAATGAGTTGTGTAATTATGTTATTTGCTGAGAATCAAGGTGGACCATAACAAGATGCATGTGTTTGCTTTTTTTGTGTGCGTGTGTGTGTGTGTGTGTGTGTGTGTGGGCCAAAATTAGCAGCTTAGTCCGGGGATAATTAGTTTTCCTGTGTATAATGTTTTCAGGGTCTCCGCCCTGCCGAGCGAGTGGCTTTAAATGGGGCACGTTGTTTATTACATATAGATTATATTACACAGCTCTCTGGAATTCTTGATTCTGATTGGTCAGTCGTGGCATTCTGCGGTAAATTAATGTAGGATAACTGGATGTGCTGGTTTTTGGTTTCTCATATCAATCCAATCAGCTGGTCATTATCGCAAAATTAACCCTAACCAAGACACCTGATCAACTTACTGTGACCTACTCCTACAGTATCTGTTATGAACTGAACAAAACACTCCAACTGAATAATGATAAATGAGACACAAAATAGCTGAAATCATATTTAGTCCTTTGAAAAAAATAACTAAATGCCTTCTGGTTTGTTAGCTATTGAAAAGGCTGGACTAAATAAAATATGAGTAATTAATAATGGTTGACAATTAATCAATTTAAATCATAGGCCTTCTAAAATAGCACTGCTAAAAACAAATACAGCAAACCTGTTTTTTTTCTTTATTTAAAATCACGTTTTTAAACCCAATTGCAATTGTTATAAGATAAACTACATATTTTCCAGTGCAAATAGAAAAATGTTATGGGTGTAAATGATCATGTTCTTAAACACTATTATTTTCTGTTAGTTTGGGATTGTTTTCTGTAAACAATATTTTCTGTTATTTTAAATATAATTTACAATAAAGTGTAATACTTATCTATGTTTCACTTGTTTACATTAGTTAATTAATTAACATGAACTAACAATAAGCAATATTTTTTTTTACACAAGACATGAAATGCATCCCATGTAACAACAGCCAAAGTCAGGATTTTCATTTAAAAAAAATATTAAAAAAATATATATAATAACAACGCATTAAATTTTAGTTTGTTTTTCGCCAAACCCTCTCGTATATCCTCAGAACACTTGGAATAAACGTCACGTCACATGAGATCATTCACATGAAATCATTCACATCATATGAGATCAAGCTTGCTACTGGTCACTATTCACTACCATAATCTGGATGTTTTTATTTTTATTTCTCCTTTTGTGGTCCAAAAAAGAAAAAAAAAGGCATACGGCATTACAACAACACCAGGGTTAACTAAGTATCCTTCATGTTAACTAACAAATAGGGCTTGGGCACCGCGTTGCATTCTGGGACGTGGCGGCCATGTTGACAGCTTCGCTAACATAAACATACCAGCATGTTGAACGAGGAGAAGCAGCTGAGTTGGGAGAAAGAAAATAAAAAAAGATGTTAAAATCCCTAAAAGGATGCGGAATTTACCGGGATACGTTTAATAGGAAAACCAGGGACCGGTATGTGGATAAAACGGCACTTTTAATGGGTTGGATCCATTTGAAATTTCCAACAAACAGTGGGAGCGCAGTACGTTACCTTAACTCAATCCGGACAAAGGTAAACTGCGCTCCACCTAGCTGCTAGTTTAGTAAAAGTTATTGTGCTAACAACCATTCACACATGTAACATACTTTTAACTATGTGTTTCAAAAGTGTAGTTAGTAACGTTAGCTGTTTTACGCAAAACTTAAGTTAGTAAGCAAAACGATTGCCAAAGCAAGAGGGTAGCAACAGGACAACAGAGACTGACAGGTCCGATTAAAGGGCTAATGTTAATGTAACGTTAATGAGAATATTAAAATACAGGATATTTTATCGGAAAATACTAAAACGGGAAGACAGCGGGAAAAGAGCTCAAGTACGTGAGAAACCCGGAAATAACGTGAGGGATGACGGCTAACGTTACTAACTATCTGTCCGGATTACTGTGTTCCTACTGTTTGCCGACTCTTTGTGGGAAATTTCAGAGATGGTTCTCACTGCGGAACATGAATGAGTCGCATCCAGATCCTTACATACACCTAAACCTACCCAACTCCACCCCCTGATCCCTAAACACACCCCAATCCCTAAACCCAACCCTAATCCTACCCATCTCCACCCTTTGGATCTTGATCCGACTCCTCCCCGTGGATCTCATGTGCTGCATTGAGGTGCTACTGAAATTTCATATGCATCCAAACCGTTAAAAGTGCCGGTTTAGTCCACATAACGGTCACTGGCTTCCCTATTTAATATTTCACGGTTAAATTCCACAACCTTAAAGGGATTTTAACATCTTTTTTCGTTTCTTTATCCCAACTCGGCTGCTTCTACTCGTTCGACTTGCTGTATGTTTACATGCGCGAAGCTGCCAACATGGCCGCCACGCCAGTAATGACGTCACGACGCCCAAGCCCTATAAACCTTTTGTAAAGTGTTACCGAAATGTTTATTTGCGGTCATCAGATTCCCATTTCCACATTCATCAAAGAGAATCGCATAGCAGAGATTGAGTGTTAATCGTGTCTTTTTCTGATTCAGATCGAGACGTTGCCGCCCGAGTTGTTCCAGTGTAAGAAGCTGCGGACGCTGAATCTAGGAAATAACTGCCTTACGGTGTTGCCGTCGCGTTTCGGAGAGTTAACGGGCCTGACGCAGCTGGAGCTCCGCGGGAACCGGCTTGAGGGATTACCGGTGGAGCTCTCCGAATGTCGACTTCTCAAGCGCTCCGGGCTGATCGTGGAGGAAGATCTCTTCAACACGTTACCACCGGAGGTCAAGGAGCAGCTGTGGAGAGCCGACAAAGAACAAGCCTGAGTGAGACGGGTGAAAGAGAAGAAACTCTTAATGTGGTCTTTATGCTTTCCTTTCATTCTTTTAATGATTTTTAATTCATTTTATTTGGGCGAACAAGCATTTGTTTCTCGTCCGTATGAAGGGAAGTTGTGGACAGGGTGCCATCTGTCCTTAGAAACACATACACTGATCCACTCATACACACAAACACGTTTTGCGAGGTCAAGTCATTCATGTACTGCCCCCTACAGGCACGGAGGGGTATGCATATAGATGACAACAACACCAACATGGTGAACATGTGGGTGTGAGTGCCTGTTAAAGCAGTGGCTTTATGGGAATGCATAGATATAACAAGCAATATGTGCTTTGTGGATTATTTACTTGGCGGTTGCATCCATTCAGGGAAGGGTCGACTGTTCATGAATGTGCCAGCTGAGTTATCAGATATGTAATTTTACATTTTAAACCTCTGCAAGATAATACCCACAGAAATAAATGCCAAAAAGGTCATATACAAAATTTACTACATAAAGTTGTAATTTAAAAAACTCAATCTCTGTTTGTTGGCAAAATCTACAGACTGTTTGCAAAGAACAAATCAAGCAAAAGTAAGTGAAATGGCAGAAGTTGTGGAAACCACTTTTGCTAAAAGTCTGTAAAGTATGCCAATAAACCTGATAGGCAATGGAGGTTGAATCATTTTGATTATAACTGTATATGCTTTTAAAGATGAATAGGATGCCACAAACTCTTTAAAAATGTCTTGCTAAAATCTTACACTCCACAGACTACGCAAAGATATAGAAACTGCGAACTCAAATGCTCTGATGATCAAAACGATCTTGGACTGACTCGAGTTCGGATCAGGTGAGATGCACGTTGACTCGAAGGGAATGATGACGTCATGATGACTGTTGTTGTAGCAAACATGGCCTTAACTCTCTGAGCTGAATGCTGGAGGTCGTCTCAAAGAAAAAGTGTACATTTTACGTTTGTAAGTTTTATAATTTTACAAAAAAATATAAGAGAAAGAACAAAAAGAAACGAAACGGAAAGATGCGTGCAAATTGTGTTGTTTGCAAGTACAAAAATCCTATGCGTTAATGAATTGTTTTTATATGTACATGTTCATATGATTTTATTTTATGATTTTTATTTGAACTTTTCTTTTGTTGGGAAGATTGCCTAATGTACACAGTATGGCGTTAAACAAAACCAAGTAAAAATTTCTGATATACATTTAAATGTGTTTTCATGTTTCTTAAGTCACACACACACTGGTCATTCTCAGGAAATTGGGCCGAACGTTTTATTTGTCGCTTTTTAAGTAGTAAAACAACAATAGTTTGTTGCTAAGACTTGCATTATTAGTTACTAACCCTACATTAGGTTTGAATTCAGTTTGTATAGATATTAGTTTAATTGTGTCCTATAATAAATCAGATTATAATTGAAATTATATTATTTTTAGTGCTGTCAAATCGATTAATTGCATATAGCATTTGAAGTTTGTGTGTGTATATGTATACATTTAGTTAATTAGCTATATGTGATTTAATGGCTTAGAAGATAAAAGTAGACCTAATAAAACACTGATGTGAGGTAAGAGAAACTGCTTTCTAAATCATGTGGTCAGAAAATGATCATCAATTTAAATATAACATCGGAAAATTTTAATTTTGGTTTTATTCTCTCAGCAAATAAAGAATACAGAATGAGAAAGCATGTGTTAAAATAGATTTACAAATGTAATTGTTTCCATGCATATTTGCTGATATTCTGATGAAAAACGAACTAGTTTTATACATTTTATTTCGGATTACACATGCAATGTCACATTTATGGAAGCTTGTTTCCATATCGGAATAAAATTAAAATTATAAAAAAAATAAGTGAAACTTTTTACCTCATAATTCTGACTTTTTTCTTGGACGCGAGTTTATATCTGGGGAAAATATCAAATTCTGGCTTTTTCTGCAATTACAGAATTTATATCTTGCAATTCTAAATTAGTGTCAAGGGCTAGGGACTTTAGTTTACATCTAAACTAGGAATTGCAAGGAATAAAGTCAAGTGCCAGTGATTATTATTAATTAAGTTTTAAATATGGATATATTTGTCTTACAAAATAAGCTTTTGGAGCTTCAAAAACTCTTAAATGCCATTACAAAGCTGGGAAGAGCCAGGATATTGTTTAATAACTACAATTGTGTTTGGCTGAAAGAAGAAAGCCATATACACCTAGGATGGCTTGAGCGTGAGTAAATTATGGGATCGTTTTCATTTTTGAGTGAATTATTCCTTTTAGATCCTTTTAGAATGTGAAGTCATGGCCACATGTGGCATTGTTGACTGAGAATGAATGAGCAGACACCTACACTCACACATTCTTGAATGCCACACCCCTGAACACACACACATACACACACACACAACACATGCTCTCTGTTTCTGATTGGTAGAGGTGAGTAAGTCGCCACATGAAAGCTCCCATTCATCCACTTCTCTCTCTTTTTGTCAGTGAAGTCAGCTGACCGTCCAAACGGCAGCCAGTTCAATCAAAACAAACTTTCTTAGGTTTGTATGCACTTGACACTTCCTCAAATGCTGACTGAAACGGTCTGTAAGTCAATGTTGCACAGCCGTCACAATGAAATGACAACATGTTGGAGATTTCTCATTAAGTGGAAAGCATTCTATCTCGATCAACTTTCTGCTAGAATGTACTATTCGTCGGAAATGAGCAGCTGTCTACTTTTTCGTCCATCTGGTTTAAGATTTAAACTAGCGTTTCTGTTAAGTGGCGCAAACGTCTAAACTGCTAGGTTATCATCAGCTTTCGCTTCCCCCCCTTCCTCAAGCAGACTCTTCAAAAACAGCTGAGAGAGGGAAACTATGGAAGTCAGTGGAGCCCATCAACTGTTTGGTTACACATATTCTTCCAAATATCTTCTTTTTTGTTTAGCAGAAGATGAAACAACTCAACCAGGTTTGGAACAACTTGAGGGTGAGAGTAGAGTATGACAGAATTTTCATTTTTGGGCAAACTGTCCCTTTAAGTAGAACCGTGTGTTATCTGTGTGATGCTGGCGCCCACTGCAGGTGAAGAGGTAATATGCAAATACAAAAAACACCGAAAAATCACGACTTTCTAAATCTAAATGTAGACCCTACTTAATTCTCCCTCGGTCTAAAATATTGTCGTTATTCTGAAAAAAAAAGTACTAGATGGAAATATTATCAATGAATAATGACGGTTAATTTACTGGAGTTTTAATTATTTATTCATTCATTTTGGGATCCCTTAAATGGTGGTTGTATGGAAAGAGCTGTATTAACTTTCATCAAAAGTATAGTAAATAGATAGACATTTTATAATTAAGGTAAATATCACTTTAAATCAAAACATGCAAGGATTTAAAGGGACCGTTTACTCAAAAAATAAAATCTTTATCATTTACTCACCCATGTCTTTACAAACATGTGTGACCTTTAAGATAATTTTTTTATTTTTTATTTTTTTATGTGGCCGGCCGTTTCTCTTTTTGTTTGCATGTTTTCAGGCTGGTATTTAAAGGAATAGTTCAACAAATGTATTCCGTCATTACTTTCACCTGAATACCTAAATATCAGAAAATCAGCTGAATGGATTCGAAAACGGTAAAACTCAACTGTTTTACTCTGGGGGAGTAGTAAAATCAGTCTATTTCCAAAAAAAAGTGGAGTATCCCTTTAAATGCAACACGAACAAGATGCACAAAACAGCTGCCAGAGAAAAAGTTAAAACATAACATGTTCCGTGTTTTTTGGTTTTAGTTTTATAAAATGTGAGAAATTTGGTTTGCAAAGAGTCCCCTTATGTTACTAAGTGCAATTATTTTCCCAGACAACCACAGAATAAAGTTGTTAAAGGAGAACTCCGGCGCAAAATGAACCTTTGGTCTAATTACACATTGTTACCTAGTCAACCGTTATCTGAGATTTGTTTTCATGATTGCCGAATGTAAATAGTTTTATCTCTAAAAACAGTTTAGCCTATAACACTAGTATAATGCTAGTATATAGGGCATAGAGTAATGACAAATAAAAATCGCTTGTTATTACCACCAACAAGGCTCAAAATAGCCCCATACCAACACGACAGCATAACAAGGGTCCCTACATTCAAACCGAAGCATTGAGAACTTTGTCAGTGTCCAAACAGTTTAATAAGAAGATATTTTATACACACAGTCAACTTCGCGAATACAGGAAGAAGCCATCTTTGAAAAATAGTCTCTACCAGTCGATCTACGAGCGCCGATCCAAGTGCGCTGAACTGTGCAGAATCTCATATGGTCCGTTGTTTCCAGAAGAAACACAAACACAAACCGTTTATTTGTCTTCAATATGTACACGTAGCCTACTGTTCGCGCTCACTTTATCACCTTATTCACATCTCACCAGCGCACTTGGATCGGCGTTTGTAGATCTACTGGTAGAGACTATTTTTCCAAGATGGCTTCTTCCTGTATTCGCGAAATTTACTGTGTGTATAAAATATCTTCTTATTAAACTGTATGGACACTGACAAAGTTCTCAATGCTTCGTTTTGAATGTAGGGACCCTTATTATGGTGTCGTGTTGGTATGGGGCTATTTTGAGCCTTTTTAGGGGTAATAACAAGCGATTTTTATTTGTCATTACTCTATGCCCTATATACTAGCATTATACTAGCGTTATAGGCTAAACTGTTTTTAGAGATAAAACTATTTACATTCGGCAATCATGAAAACAAATCTCAGATAACGGTTGACTAGGTAACAATGTGTAATTAGACTAAAGGTTCATTTTGCGCCGGAGTTGTCCTTTAAGGTGAAAGTAAATGACGGACTATTCCTTTAAATGCCAGCCTGAAAAGAAAATGATGTATTTCAGAAATGGAGCTTGCACAGCATTAGTTAGTTAAATTTATATTACAATACACAGAAAATTACTAAATCTGTCATTCAATTCACTTGAACGGTGAAAAACGAATCGGTTACCTAACGTAACCTCGGTTCTCTCTAGATGAGGGAACGAGTATTGCGTAAGCTAGCTTACGCTACGGGAAAGATTCATCTTTGCTGAGAAGTTGAAGCCAAAAAATTATTCCATAATTTTGTAATCATTGTCAACGCAGTCTCTTCTGAGGCAGACCATGAGCGGGCTAGCTAGCGGCTCATTGGTTCGCTCAGAGAGAATGCACGAACCTATGGGAGAGCGGCGCTGAGTCCGCGGCCAATGAGCGGACGGCGCTCGCTTACTGCGTCACAGCCCGCCAAAAGGGGCGTGGCTACAGTGTATAAAGGTAGCTCTCCCAGCTCGTTCGTTGATTCTGTAGCATGAAGCGAAACGCTATTGGCGCAAGCACGGCCGGGAACGCAATACTCGTTCCCTCATCTAGAGAGAACCGAGGTTACGTTAGGTAACCGATTCGTTCTCTTACGAGAGGTTCTCTCGTATTGCGTAAGCTAGCTTACGCTACGGGAACACCTGGTCAACGCCGTGCGCGCTAAGTAACCACTAAGCATCCCAGGGGATACCGGGGGAATCTATAAGTGGATGAAGATAATACGGCGGCCAGCATAGCGGCCGTTACTATCTAGTGCAAAAAACGCCCAAGGCGGCCGGCGAAGGCGGGCCGTGATGTGTGGGCTAATGCATAAGCACATAGGGGAACACAAGGGGTGAGCCGGTGTGATGGAACTCCCGATAGTGCGGCTTCTATAGGAGGGCTGTGAGTACTAGACCGCCAGAATTTTCGCCTGTAAGGCTGGAACTTCCAAGTTGTAAAATCTGACAAAGGTGGAGGGGGAGGCCCATCCCGCAGCCACGCAAATGTCGTGAATGGAAATCCCGCAGGACCATGCCCACGATGAGGCCATGCCTCTGGTGGAATGAGCCCTGATGCCCAGAGGGCAAGGCAGGTCTTTAGCGGCATAAGCAGAGGCAATCGCGTCTACTATCCACCTGGATAGGGTCTGTTTCGAGGCGGCTAGTCCCTTGGTGCGGCCACCGAACGACACAAACAGCTGCTCCGAGCGTCTGAACGCGGCAACGCGTGTAGTGTACACTCTGATAGCCCGAACCGGGCAGAGGCGGTCAGCGTCACGTTCGCTATCGGATGCAGGCAGCGCCGATAGAGAGATGACTTGCGCCCTGAAAGGGGTACCAATCGCTTTTGGAACATAACCGTGTCTAGGCTTTAGAATGACTAT